TTAAACATGTTTCTTGAAATTCACAACTCAATACCAGTGTAAAAGCACGTAATACGGGAAATAATAAAATCATTAAACACATGATACCGACACTAGCTAGAATGAGACGTAGCACTAATGTTAATCCAAACACCAACAAAAATATTAGCATCACACAAACATCAAAAACTCAAACAGTTAGGTAGATATGGTATAGAATGCAATGCAATCAACAAATCTCCTCCCTATCGATCTACATACTTCACCTTCAAAAAATTTAAAAATATAAAATTCTCTAATTCATAACATTTATTTTACTCTCCTCCTTTTTGTCACAAATGATGGAGGGATTGATAATTAAAAAATCACAAAAATGCTTTACTCTCCCTCTTTTTAACATAAACATATAATAACTCAAAAATGTTATCGTTAACATGCATAAGTATAAGCAATGTACAGTAAACCTTCTCACATATTTCGTTCGGTTAATATGGAGTAAATTGTATAAGCGATCTATGTGTGTAAAGTGTCATTAATCCTTTATAAGTAGGACTCCAAACCTTAATTTTGTGAGAAATGACATTCTAAATATCACTTCCAATAAGTGTATTTATCTACTTATGAAAGTCAAAATATTTAAAGTGCAGTAGGACCTTTAAATTAAAGCTCATTTTGTATTGATATTTTTTTTATCCCCCTATCTTTGAGCATATTTTAGTTTCACATCTTTCAATATTTTAAGTTCATAATTATTTTTCACATCTTAAGTGCAGACTCTTCTCCATTAAACCACTAAAATGATATCTATAGCGAGTTTTAGGCCGGTTAACCCAAATTAATTGACTATAAGCACCAGATTATGAGAAATCCTGCATGCTTAATTACTAGAGCTAAATAGGCTCCGAATAAGAACATAAGATATTGAACTTTTTATTAACGTAGATAAACTTGAGTTTAGGTTTAATAAATAAGGTCAATTCATTTTCAAAGTCACCTTACTAACATGATATTGTCATCCCAAATCTCACACACGTGGTTAAGTCCCACTAACAATATCATAGGGTGTGCAATGCAGATGGTGCATGAAGACACATATACTAAATACTCCATAATAACATAAGCCAACAATGGAAATTATGTTACACCTCATCAATTAAACCTATACTTGATCACAATAAATAAATTCAAGTATATTATATATTATGCCGTAAAAATAGTTTTCTGCATTTTTTTTATTTTTATTTTAAAGTATGAATGCATCAAGCACACAAAAAAAAAAATGTCAAACAAACAAAAAATAAAAATAAAAAATATGCATGAATTTTCTATCTAGAAAACAAATATGATGGACGCATAAATAAATGTCACATAATGATAAAGTACGAGCAACCACCAAAAATACCTAATTATTTAGATATGCAGATACTCTTACTTTTAAGAGTACCGTTATCTATTTCAAGATTTTTTGATCATTTTTCTTCACCCAAACTTGCCTAGTGATAGGAATATTTTCGGTTATCCGTGTCATTAATTTGGTTAATTTACTTTCCTGATTAGTAAGGAAGTCAATTTAACCAATATGATCCTTATTCTTATTTCTATTTATGTTCCAATTTCTATTAATGTTTAGAAGATGATGACACCTAGGCTTTATGTGTCCTAACTCACCGCAATGAAAACAAGTAGGAATAAACCTAGGATAAAAGGTCTGTGATCGTTGATATCTATTCCTAGGTTGGTGTGTCATATGCTGTCTAGTAGGCATTTGTCCTACATATAACTTATTCTTAGGTTCAGGGTTAGACACATGTTTATGTTGGTCAGTATCAAGGACAAATATGGTCTTGGACGTACTAGCAACATTATGATCAGTTTTATTATATCCTAGATCCACCTTATTACTAGTAGGCATACTTATTCCAAGAATGTTATCTAACTTTATAGATCCACTTGGAAAGGTAAGAAGTTGAAACTTGGCATACTCTAGGTCGTTTAGAAGATTTTTAACCTATATTTCTAAGGTTTCCTTTTCAACTGTCAGCTCATTAGCTCTCCTAGAGGTCTTCTCAACTAGTGAGATTTCTAACCTGGGTATCTAAAGATTTATTCCTGGATTTCAACTCACTCAAGGTAGAGGTAAATTCATGAATGTACACTACGAGTTTTTTGTTTTCCAACTCAAGTTCCATAACTCTCCTACTTAAATCTTTATTTTTTGTTATAATCTTAATGCTCTCCTCATAGATTTTATCATAAGTCTCATGAATATCTCCCTCACTATCATAATTTTCCTCACTATCAAAATCTTCTTTTGAATTCTCATTACTGCTTATGCTCTCAGCCTTCTCACTCTCCTTATTAGATCCATTCTTAATTATCGTAGTAAAGGCAATATATTTTTCACTTTCCTCAGAAGTTGATTTCTCACTCTAATCGTCCGAGTTAGACTCGTCATCAGTGAGAGTAGTCTTCATAGACTTATTTGGATTTCTCCTACTGCTAGGACACTCACTTCCAACATTGCCAAAATCTCAACAATTATGACACCTCACAGTTTTAGAACTCTTCCTAAATCTGCTAGGACCACTTCTATGATTCTCTTAAGGTTTTTTTTTGTTTTTTCCTAAACATATTTCAATTTTTTTTTAGCAAACTAAGCTAACTCCTCTTTATTAGGAGAATCTGAATCCGAAGACTCTCTATGACTATTCCTCACAGTATTTAAGGTCAGTGACTTATCGTTTGTGGGTTTAACTAATGTCAGCTCAAGGAAGGATGTAAGGATTTTTCTAATAATTTTTTACTCAGTTATTTTTTCACCTATGTTGAAACTAGAATTCACTATGTCGTTTAACCTCGCATAAAAATCATCAAAAATTTCATTTTCCTTCATCCGAATTTCTTTGAACTTGGTGGTCAGCATCTGCAACTTAGAGTTAACTGCCTGAGTTCCCTCATGTGTGGTTTGCAAAATATCTCAAATCTCTTTGCCTACCTCACACATAGACACTCACATAAACTCTTCCACGGAAATTGTCATGAATTGGGCATGTAAGACTTTACTGTTCCAGTTACACTCATCTAAGTTCGCTCTAGTCTAACAAGCAATGGCAGTGGGGATAACTTCATTATTATTTGTAGAACCAGGTACAGCCCAACCATTCACAACACTAAGCCAGATACGCTCATCCAGAGATTTTAAAAAAGTTCACATCCTAACCTTCCAGTAAGCATAATTACTACCATCAAAATATGGCAAGACGGATGATGAATTACTCATCTAGATAATATGGTTCAATGAACGAATTTGGGCTCTGATACCAATTGAAAAAAATTAAGTTTTTTTTACTTGATAACACTTAACAGTTCACGGATTACCAACTTAACGGTTTTTAGGTTACCAAATGGTTGTTAGTTTTGACCCTATTTGTGGAAATAATCAATGAAAAGCACCAAGTCACTTTTAATTAGTTTTAGATGATTAAGCAAAGAAGTTCAATTATTCTATGTTGAATTGTCGCAGTAATAAGGAAAACAGTAAGCAACACAATTTTGATGACAGATAAACCCAACTGAGTAAAAATTTTGGGACCAATCCATTGCCTCCACTATATACAATGCAGAGTGAGTTACAGTCAGATGCTATTTAGCCAACTTCACTAGACTTTCCGACCTATTTCCTGCTAACTTCAAGGTCAGCTCCAAGATGTGCTCCAAGATCTTCTGCAATTGTCTCTTCCAAGTGGAATTCCAAGAACCTGCTCTATGGCACCCACATCCTCTTTTGAATAAATCTAAAGTATGTTTTTCTTGTAATGCAACATCTCTCAATCTCCAGCAGCCTCTAAAGTTCAATTGGGAAAGTGCCTTCCCAAAAGTGATTAGGAAGTAGGTGCTATGGATTCAATAGATTTGATATTTTCTCCAATTTTGTGGTTGTATAAGAAATATATTATAGCAAAAAGGCACAATGAACAACCACACTAATTTCGTGCATAAGCTTGAATATTTATTGGAGAGTGTAATTAGGTTGAATGGGGTAGAAAAAATACTTCAAAACAGTGAAATAGGATTTTCTAAATCGGACTCGTTCGGCGACATGCGAGCGACAGGCGTTCTATTTTTGTTGTTAGAGCGCCAACTATGAGAGAAACTAGGAAAAATGCGGCGTCATGTTTCTCCTCTTTTCATGTTTGAACCCTAGACCTCATAGCCAAATTTATATAAATTGCACTCTAGGTTCTTGACTTTTACAGCACGTTATAAATGAGTCATTTTGTCCACAGAATTGCCAACACTAAAAACGTAACACAATTTTCTAAATTAATTTGGTTATATCCGAAGTATAAATTGTAGCTAAATGTGTCGAAACTAATTGTCGGAATTTTTTTTGCTTCAACTTGCAAAAAATGCAACGTATTAAATTATATATTATACTTTCAACGGCAGTAATAAATAAAAATTCAACTAGAACTAGTAATTTACCGTCAATGAAGGAATTACATCCATCCACGAGTGAAAATTTTACAATTATACATATCTTAGATTGTCTCATTGAAAAATATCCCCTAAAAGCCCTGTAAATATACATAAATGTTAGGGTGATATAGTCTATATGTTGAATGTTCAACGGGCCCACGAACCCAAAATACACTAAGAAAATTTCCATTGAGGATTCATATGATGTCGGGCATAAAATAGTAACAAGGTCACTAATGACATGGAGGGTGAATGAGAAAAGGTATTGATGCAGCCATAAAATTGTTTAATCGTGCCCGCGCGACATATACATGAATCCATGAAAACTTTGTATTAACGTAGGAAAGCAAATATTGATGCTAATAAAACTCGTGGGGGGTACTAATACGACTTTAAATCTTGCATACTATAGATTATAGCACACCTTATTCCATCAAAATGCATAGCATCATGAGCAGTCAGCCTCGGACATTTCAAGACTGACTGCTCATGATGTCATATCATTTTTATGAAATAAATTCCTGTGTGCCATAACTAATTATTTATCGAAAATTTCCTCCAAGAGCAGAAGGAGCCCAATAATCTGCTCCATTAAAGTCACTTCCAGCATGAAGAATGCAGGACATGGGAACTAGGCACAATCCTCTACTCCTCAAGTCCTTCTTTGGCTCTTCATGACGATCCTAACAAAGAATACAACAAAAATTAATTCGATACTATCAAATATGTTACATTTATGTTTAGTATATAATACTCGACTTTAAGCTGGACAAAAACATCAACAAAAATTTTCAATATTTTAGTACCTGCTCAGATGTTCCTTTCATCTTTATGCAGTTGTCATTCAACAGCTGCAGTTGAGATTGTCAAAAGCATAGCAGAATTAGTCATTTTTCCTTGATATATTTTTAAAGTAAAAGTTTTGCTGTTCTGAAAAAGTAGTTCTTTCTACAATTTCCCTCGTGGAAAATGGAGACATTAAATACATAACTTATTAAAGAAAAAGAATAAGCAAACTTTCTTAAATTCTTTAGAGTTGGTAATGGATCCAATAAAGCATACCTGCCCAGGATCCTCAGGAAATAAACAATTCTTCTCTCCTTGAAACTGAAAATAATTAATTATCATTATTCAAAAAGGCCTACTTAATTTAGAATTATATTCATTAGCACATGCATTCTCATATGCACTGTTTTTCTCAGATATCCACACTACATGCATATTTTCATACATACACACAAACAAAAACACACATGCATACATGTATGGGAAAATTAGCGTTGTCTCCCAATTTTATAAATAGTATGGTTATCTGTCCTCACCTTCAAACTTGAGCTAATGAGTCTCCAATCTATTTATCGAACATGGGTCTTCACGTGATCACAACCAACAATATCGACATTAAAATCACACATGATTTTCAGTGAATTGGTGAGAAATGCAAGTGTTTTGATAGCTTTAACCTCCAATCTTAGGTCACATGAAATCGCTTGTGATTCGACAATGGGGGCTTGTAAGCAATACGTGGGTCTTAACCTTATCAACGGTAGTCTCATGGATAATTTCGATCATTTGGAGACCAAAATTTACAGATTTAAATAGGTTGGAGACACAAAACCTCGCATTTGAAAGTTAAGGATTCGTAATTGTACCACGTTAAATGTTGGGCAGCCCGACCTTAAGTTTTCTACCCGACCTTTTGTGTATATATGTAGAGAGAGAGAGAGAGAGAGAGAGAGAGAGAGAGTTTACAGGGTACTGCTGCCTTAGGTTTCCTGATTTACTGCCCAAGTACGGCAAGCTTAATGTGTATATATGTGGAGAGAGAGAGAGAGAGAGAGAGAGAGAGAGAGAGAGAGAGAGAGAGAGTTTACAGGGTACTGCTGCCTTAGGTTTCCTGATTTACTGCCCAAGTACGGCAAGCTTAGGGCCTGCATTCAAGGGGGGAAAAGAATGTGAGGAACATTCAACTGTGGCTAATGTGCCATCAATTGTTCATCGGAGTTAGAAACGTCACCTCAACTTGGTTCTGAAGGAATCTTATATATCCAATTGCTTCTAACAACACAGAGGCTGTGTCAGTCTGCATAATAATAAATAAATCAGAATACCCCAAAAATATTACAATGCTATATGTATAAAAAAAATTTACAGAATACCAAAAAAAAAAAGAGCAGCCATACGATGCTGTACTTGCAGAATAATATAAAATATTATCATCTTTTGTAACAATGCTATGTGTACAGGAAATTTTTACAGAAGGCATAGCAGAATTTCACATGGCAATATTTCACTTGGTGTTGGGCAGAACAAAAAGAAGAAAAAAAAAAGTAAAACTGTTCGTAAATTCTGTACAAAATGATTAATCCTCTTTTTTTAATCCTCCAAAAGGGGTGTTTGTAAACACAATAATAAATAAAATTTCAACCTTTTTTTCCTTTTTATCATGTAGAGTACCATCTCGTAACATTCTACACCATTGAACGTATCATTAAAAAATACACTAAAACCCTAAAAGATAAAGAAAGACGAAGGAGAAGAGGACCATCTACTTTGCAAGAACTTTTTTTCTAGGATTTCTTCATAATTATGTCCTAATTCCTGTTACTAGTTAGTGTATGTAATAATTTTTACAGTATTTACCTTGCCAAATGGCGAAACTAACTGGTGAAGAGCTGTTATTCGGTCTCCCAATTTCTCTTTTCTCACCTGCGTTTTCAAATTTCAAAACCCATAAAGTGAGCAATGACAACCTGTTCAAAGTAATCATTTCACTTCAAAGATGAAGACTTATTTGAAATTCTCTTGTGTGGACTATACGAGAGATAGCAAAAGAATCAACATGTCTCAAGGACAGGACAACAAAAAGAGACGACAATAATATTCCAAAATTGAAAAGTTAAGAGAATCGAAACAAACTTAAGGAGAAGATACGAGTAGATCCATAGACCTAGTTGATCATGTATCCATCTACATGAAATGTTTTTGATTAGGATGGTTAAAGCATTTTTTAGAATATTCAATTGTAGATTCTTTTATTAGGTTGGTGTGAAATTTATTTATTTACTATGGTTTTTGTATTCCCTCCGTCCCATTTATATAGGCTTGTTTTCTTTTTCAAACGGATTAAAAAATGTTATTTAATGTTATTGGAACTACATTTTTTGATAAAAACTTTCCTTGTTTACCCTCATTTTAATTATCAATAACCAGTAGTAAATTATTATTGGAAGTAGTTAAGAAATAATGGTATATTAATAAACGAACAAAACAAAACATTCTTAATAAAGAAACGAGACTGTATAATTTGGACAAGAAAATAAGGAAAATGAGCCTATATAAATGGGACAGAGGGAGTACTATGATGAACTATTAAAGAAGTATACCCACTAATTATTGTGCTAACCGTATTGTCTTATAAAATTTGAGGGATACATTTCACTCATTCAAAATTTATATCAAATTAACAGTTTTTACCAAAAAAATTCTTTCCAAAAAACTAATATCAGAGACTTAAAGATCCAGAAGCCACAAGAAGAAGATGAGATAAAATGGTTGAGATTCAGCCATTTAAAATACAAAATGGAGATCAAAATAACTAAGAATAAAAAAATAGCTCCAGCATGTGATTATATAGATTTAAATGGAAATGTTTTTATCTTCTCAAATTATCTATTTAAATCAACAAAAGAAGGAGGATCAAGAAGATGAAAATACAAAAGCAATAAAGGATGATAATATAATTAAATTTTCTTTAATTATACCTTGAATGGGGGCTGGGATGAAGAAGGTTGAATCCTGGCCTTCTTGGCTACCCCACCTGTAGCAGTGCTGTTGCACTTCCCAAAAGTAAAGATAATAAAAGTTCATCAAACCCACCTTTCAAATATGTAATTAACGTGCTTTGAGATGATTAGACATTTATAATCTTCGTGTCTTTTCGCAAACCCTAAAAAAAAAAAAAACACAATTTTCGTGTACATACATCAGAAGAACGATCAGGTTGTGTAGGCTTCAGATCTGGCTGGTTAGAAAAATCTAACATGTTATTGCTCAAAGCGGTGACACATGACTTGGGAGATGAAGCTGCTGGCATCATTTGAGACCAACCAGAAGTAGGTTTTGAAGCTTGAAACTCCAAATTTTCATGCCCATGAAAATAATCACTTTTTGAGCTTAATTCTTGCTTCACATCAACAATTGCAGAGCCATTGGAAGCCTGGTGATTCAGAAGTTGTTCTATATATTCGACCTTCCTCGCCTGCAAATGGCTAAAACTAGACTTCTCTTCTTCACCAACCAATCCCCCTCTGCACCTCCCAAAAGCCCAGAGTAATTATATGTAATTAATTGTTTAAAAATTTCTTGAACTATACTTAGTGCTCGATTAGCTAAGAAGGAAAGATAAACTTTAATGTTATTATGAAAATCTTGATCTTTTTGGGTGCATGAAATGGAAACTATATCCATGTATCAAACATCCACACGCGTACGTATATACATACATATGTGTGTAGAGAGAGAGAGAGAGAGTTACAGGAGTAATTGACTCCATGACTCTGGAAGCTCCTGGATATCATTCCATGAAGAAGCAGATGGAGCAGTGTACTGAGGTATATAATTCACAGGCGGATTAATAAAACCGTGTGGTTGAAGAGTTGGAGGCCTCGTAGTATTATTCATCGTCCACGGCCAGTTGGGGCTGCCGGCGGCCACCATCTGTTGCACCGGTGAGCTCTGCAAAACACCTCTATTCATAGCTTTTCTCTATACACAACAATCAAGATAATAATTATAGCTAGCCCCCTCTTGCCAATTTATTTCTTTCACTCTCTCACAAATTGACTTTTTTTTTATCTTTCTTTCTCTTTCACTTTACTTTTCTAATAGCTCTTGAAGCTCCCAAAGAAGGCTTTGTAAAATCTTTACAAGGTCTCCTCTAGTCTTGATTAAGTAGGTGAAAATAAGTAGAGAGAGAAAGAGAGACAATAATGAATTATGTGGTTTTGAGAACCTTTGTCTTTGTATTCTCTCTTTCCTTCTTTATTAGCTTTGCTTTTACTTCTCTTTCTTTCTTTTTACGATTTTTCTTTTCTTTGCTTTTCTCTTACTTTTGCTTTATCACTAAAGTGGGCAATAAAGGTTCTACTAATTTTCCTCCAATAAAAAAATAAGTAAACTAATGTCGAAGAGAAAAAGTGAATATTGCTATTCTAACACTGAGGTTCACCATGTATTGAACTTTTGCAAANTACTTTTTCAAATTTGTAAATTTATATAATTATAAAAAAAAAAAAAAAAAAATCTTTATTTTTGAAGAGTATATTGAGCATAATAGACATTGTTTTTAAATTTACAATGGAACGTTGAAACTTGTAATATATTAAATGCAATATTAATAAAATATTAATAGAAAGTTAGTTTGACTCTTCAAATGTAGATAAGTAATGATATTTAGCACTATTGGTGCTTATAAGCACTATCCTAGGTGAGAGCAAGTGTAATTAATTGATATATCACCTTAACGTTGGAAAAATATGTCACATTTTAGACGTCTTATCACTTGCAGCCACCTAACTCGGTGTAATAGTTCTACGTAGCATAATAATTAAATAGTTAAACTCAATCTCTATTTCAATTTTGAAATATAGAGTTGTTTGGAACTTAACTTTAAAGTTGGATTCTCTTTTAAAAATTTTCTTGGAGATGTTCTTAGCATGCTACAAAACGAATATCTGTTACATTTATTGAAAATGACAATTTTCACCTTAGTGATCAATTCATCTTCTTTTTCACCCTTAGCCAATCTCTCCACTTGGGTGCCCCTTCATCACTCTTTCCTGCTGCTTCCTCCCTTCATCCATTACTATTTCGCTCTCCTCCTTCAGCGCCATCCATCACCTCTCCCCCTACTCTCTAGAGGTTTTTCAACGGTTTGGTGATCCCTGAAATGCTCCTTGAGCTCCAGAGGAATCGGGGCATTGCAATGGTGCATGGAGGGAAAAGATGGAAGGGGACAACTGACAACACAAAAAAGGGAACATTTTAAGATGAAGAGAATTATTAGTAAAGGGGTAGAGGGTAGGGTAGGGATTAAGGAAGAAGAGATGACAGTTGTGCAGAAGAAGAAGTTTAATAGCACAAATTAATAGAATAAGAACTCAAAAGTAACTAATTTGAATTGTGAATCTAATATCTTCTTTATTCTTTCATACATCGAGTAGTTATTTGATATGAATTACGAGTTACAATCATTAACAAAAGAGGCACAACATAAGTAGGCTAATAGGTATACACAAAATATGATGCACATTAACCGGATGCCATTTTCATCACAGTTAGGTTTGCAAATAAATGCAACATGCTACATGTACAAATGTATATCACATACCAATATCATTTCAAATGACAAATGGACAAAGAAATTGGCATTTGTCATTTCCAAATGAGCAAGAGCATAAGAGTATCGTGTGCATAATAAAGAGTATCTTTTAATTTAGAGAGTAATTATTTTATACACACTTAACAATATTTTTTTATTTTTTGCTCTTCATTTTCTTTTTCAAGAATTATTTATTATTTTCTTCTCATAGTTTACTTAATATAATTATTTATATGTTAATGGTGAATTAATTGAAATATGATTTGAACAATTTATGATTATTCAAGAGATGTGTCTCTTGGTATGGATGTTCCAACTACTATATATATATGGATTCCCTATGTGTTTGGATACACTACAACTACACAACAAATAATTTATTTGATAGTTTCATTCCATGGTTACTTTAGTTTTGCATAAAACACTTTGTAGAAGTGATTTTTCTTGCATCAAAATCATGGTTATGGTAGAGAGGGAACTCCGTTCGAGTTCGTGGGTCTAAGTCATTTGGAGTGCTCCTATGGCTAGACGTGGTCGTTGTATCTTGGGAGATGATTGCCAAGAAACCGTTAGCACCGATGCGGGGCAAATTCATCTTAAGGACAAAGTGTCAAACACTTGCCTCGACCGATCGCATCACTTGCATCTCATCTTTCTTTTTCGATTTCATTCCAATTTAGTATTTTGATTTCGGAAAGTAACTAATATTCTTTTGATTTCATGCAAGGTTTGAATTGAAGAACAACATGCGTTCACTCATATTGGGAAGTGAAGAATTCATATTATTATATTCGAAGTCGGTAAATCGCTATTTTATTTTCTCAAATCAGATTTCGGTAAGTCGAATGATGTTTCGATTTCATTCATATTAACGGCATGCTCTTGATGAATATAATATGCACATTATCAGTGTAATATCTCCTACAGAATGTAAATCATGACCGTACTTAATGTTGATGCATATCCCATATATCATAATCAAACGATAATATTTATGATTTTACTTTAAAAATGTTTTATGAGGTAGTTTGGAAATTTCTCTCTTCACTCTATATAACTCTGAAAGTATGTTTATATCAAAGAACAAAGGTACAAGAAAAGCCAAATCTATCTACGCATAGCTAGGCATAGATTGATTTTGTTCAAAAAATCAAATTTTAACTAGCCTTGTCATTATCATCCTACAACGTTCGTGCACTATAACCTTAATAGCTTTACTGATCATTATCAACATTAATTCATCACTGCTGAGATTATTCATTTGATGTCCATTGTCATAATTATTCCGATAAGATGAGTACATATTTAAAATTTGAATCCCATTGTTGGTCCATAAATGGTTTAAGTCGAATTAGGAATTTCTTATCGAATGTAATTTCAATTCAGACTATATCTTGCAAGACTCTCTCATTACTTTTCTTAGGTAGGTCACAAAAAAAACGTCTTGGATGATTGATAGGCTCAATTAGAATGGAATTAAATCAATCATGCTTCATGTACAGGTGAACCCCCACCGATAACACACAATTAGGGGGGGGGGGGGGTATCGGTAAATTTTTTTACTTTTCTATTGAGGTGGGTCCCACGTGGGACCCACCTCATGTGAAAGGGTGTAGGGTTTCTGTACGTTGTACATTTGGCTAGATTTGTAGGCACGACGATGTCTATAAATTTTGACTCGGCGTGGCTTGTGCTTGGTCTGTGTAGATCTAATGGCTATTATATCTTTGTCAAAGTGATAATTGAACAACTACTCTTTATTTGAAAAATTGAAACATACTTCAGTTTTCAATTTTATTTATTTATTTATATATTTAGGTTTTTCTTTGTTACCTTATTTTCCATAACATGTTTTATTGTTTACCAATAATTTTTATTTTGAATTTGTTGCCTTATTTTACATTTTCATAACATATGTTATCGTTTTATTTATTTTTTACTTTTACCGTAACATATATTTTTGTGTTACTCAATTTCGAACCGTAACACCATTTCGTCTGGTATTGTTTTCCGCCACTAGTAGTGGAAATTTTTATTGTATCATCCAATTTGAACTAGTCAGTTCAGTTCAATTTTAGTTGACTAAACATTTCTCGTACAGTGCTTGGTTCTGGCTACGAAACTAAATTTTTATTCGAATCCAAACATACTTGATGCTGCCAAAAATTGCACCTGGTCAATTCCGAGCTTGGCGATTGACAATGAGTACAACTGTGATCTTCTAGTACCTGAAATAAAGGCGTCGAGTAGTGTCCTTGTCGCCCCTCCGATGCTTAAGTCAGAGAGAGAAGGGAGAGAAAATATATGCTGAAAATATGTGTGTAAAACGTACCTGAGTAATGAAGATAGACTATGTACTTATAATGTGGGAGATTGAGTCCTAAAAGGGCTCAATCAGTGGAACCTGTCCTTGTCATAGAAGGTGTTTGGGTTACAATTGGATTTGTAATAGGTTAGGGGGTTTACATTTAGGTAGATTTAGTGCCCCTAGGAAACGTGTCTAAAGGATGGGCAGACCAAGACAATCCCCGACCTCAAGACAAGGCCCGAACTCAAGGAAGACAAATTAGGTTGGGTTTAGGTCGAGCTATTGGACTCGATCTCAAGACAAGGCTCGACCTCAACAAGCCCAATTGGGCTAGAAATATTGACATAGCTTCCTAGCAGCTTTGACCAACGCAAGTGCAAGTTGTTCAGCCAATATGTATCGAGTCTCTGCGTCGAAAAGTACTTTACTAACATAGTAAATAGGTCGCTGAACCTTTCCTATCTCCTTCACCAACACTCCACTTACTGCATTCTCCGTAAAGGCTAAGTACAATAGCAAAGTATCACCAGGTTCTGGCTTGGTGAGGACTGGGGTGTTGATAGTGTTTGCTTCAGCTCTTGAAAGGGTACATTGCATTCCTTGTCCCAATCAAAGTTCCGGTTACCTATCAGGATTTTGAAAAAAGGGAGACACATGTTAGACGCTCGAGAAATGAACATGTTCAACGCCGCCACTGGACCTGCCAATTTTTGAATGTCCTTCTTGCATGCTGGTGCTTCCATGGATATCAAGGCTTGGATCTTGTCTGGGTTGGCCTCTATTCCTTTATGCTTGATCATGAACCCCAAAAAATTGCCAGATGCCACTCCAAACGTACATGTCATAGGGTTTAGCTTCATCATGTACTTTCGTAGCGTAGCGAAGACCTCTTCAAGGTTCGAAAGATGACCATCCGCTTGCTTGCTCTTGACTACCATGTCGTCCACATATACCTTATATTCTTCCCTATTAAGTGAGCAAAGACCTTGTTGACAAGCCTATGATATGTAGCTCTTGCATTCTTCAACCCGAAGGGCATGACCTTGTAGCAGTAAATGGCTGAATCTG